TCTCGTGAATCATGTCAAAAACCACACTTGAAAACATGCAGTTTAAATATTGACATGCATATAGATTGGACTGAATTATTGTCATGCATATGGTCAACCTGCAGTTTAAATATTTTACAAATAAAAATATATATTGTAAATAATTAATGGCTGTGGACCTTCTTGTGCTCGGAATCGCTTAATAAATTAGGCTTACTCCAGGCTCATGTATAAAAGGCGCAGCGTGTGTATGCGTTTTTTATTGGTCTTTTTGTTCCTATCATTACATAAAATTATTACGTTTTTGGTTAATGTTTTAAAATCATTTTTTATTAATTTTCCTATTAAAAAAAAAAAAAAAAATTCTTATATAATCCTCTAAATGACCATAAATTTCACTTGTTCTGCCACACTAGTATATTTGGCTAATTTAATTAAGACCACAAAGCTCAATTAATAATATTGAAATCAATTGAGAACAAAAATTCTAAACCAAAAAGATATTACTATGATCTAGTGTATTCCTCTTCGCTTGTAAGTGAGAGGGTTTTGGATTCCTCGCCAAAGACAAATTTGAACCACTTTATTATTAGTCTATTGTGAGGCTAAGCCCATCTCATCTCCCTTAGGGTAGATAATATTGTTTGTTAAAAAAAAAAAAAAAAACTGAAAAAATTATTAGAAATTAATAGTTAAAACCAAAAATTATTTGAAAACTTGCAACCCATTTAAACAAATCTAGTTAAAGCAAAAACCTAGTTTATATGAATGTATATATATGGCAAACTTTTTTTTGGTAAATATAATATATGGCAAACTTTACTATGTAGATGTTTATACTTCTTTTTTTGGGACGCGTAAGAGACACTAAACTTACACTTGCTAATAACATATAAAAACCATCTAAGTTTGGGAAAAAAAAAAGAGAAAAGAATGGACATACGCGTTTTGATAGAAATGATCAATGATCATACTAATAAACGGACACAATTTTTCCTTCTGAAAACAAGTGATAATTACAATTTACAGAAAAAGGACTTAATCAAAAGTAAAACTTTTCTTCTGCCTATGACTATATGCCCTCTCCCTCCCCCAAAGCGCCCAAACCTCTGAAACCCTCTTTACCATCGACCTCTTGCTCTGGCTTGGAGTCGGTGGCAGCCCAGCCCTTCCTTCCTCGCCTTCCCCTCTCTTCCCCTTTCTTCCACCCTCTATTTCATCACTATCTCCCATCTCTCCCTGATTTTTTGCCCTTCTTCCTCTTCTCATTTTCCACCCTTGTTTCCTTACTTTCTCCCATTCTCTCCATCTCTTTCCTTCTAATTTCCCCATCTCTCCCTTTTCCTCTAACTCCACCACGGTTTTTCCTCTCCAAACCACCATTGGAGATTTAGATTATCTGTTTTTGCATTTAGCTTTCAGTTGTTTTCTTTTTGAGCATTTTGTGTCTCAAGTTGCTCTGAGCTTGGTCTCAGTCTTCCCTTAGTTTATCTCAGATCTGTTTTCTTTGCCTTGTTCCTCTCCAAACATCGATCCTCCGTAAATCTTCTACCATCTACCCTTGATTCTCATTTCATTGAGTGTCTTCTCCTAGGATCTCATTCGAGGCGTACTTTGGTGGTCCGTAGCATTTAAAGTGCATCTTGCACTATTTGGTAGGATTATGGGAGCGCTCTTAGTGCGGGTAGATTGCCTACCCTTATTTTCAGTTCATCCATTTGGTTCTTTGGCCCTTCTTCTTCTGGGTGGTAGTGACGGATCTGCGGTGGTGGTGCGGCTGTTTTGGTGGAGGTGGTTGTCTAGACTTATAAGACAAAGCTTGCTGCTATGGGCTGCTCACTTTGGGCCCTTCTCATTGTAGTTTTCGTTATGGAGTTAGGCTTTTGCTTGGCCATTTTGGATTCTCTTTTGGAGTTGTCATTACCTTGTATTAGCTTTCTTATTAAATGAAATTTACTTTGTTTATCCAAAAATAAAAAGTAAAAAATACTTAAACTCGAGACACTATAATTTAACAAAAAAAGACTTAAACTCAAGACTCTGGCCCAGTTTGGCGGGCTGAATGTGATATGTTGTAATCAATTAAAATGAATTTGAGTCAAGTTCATTGTTTGTTGTGTCAAATGTGAGATGGATAGGACTGAACATGATGAGTTATGAGTCCACAATAAAGTAGGTTATCTAACCTACCTTTATACATGAGCTCCAAGTTTTGTCTTATAAGTCTTTGCCAATCTAATTCCATCCCTAAAGCCCAATCATTTCCAACCCACCAAACAGACTTTATAAGTTGAAAAAAAAAAAAAAACTCTAACTAAGGCTAGGCAAGGGCCGTACCGGGCCCAATTTTGAAGGGACCAGACCGGACCAAGATTTAAAAGAGAAAGGTTGAGTCGCGCCGGGGACAACATTGTCTAATATAGGAACCAGACTTAACCCGACCCTGTTAAAACGAGTTGGTTTGGTTCGGTCCATGGGTCTTTTGGTTTTTTTTTTTTTTTTTTTTTTGTGTGAAAAAGATAAAAGAAAAAAAAAACCAAAAATTTGCACAGATTCTCCCAGCACAGGTTCACTACTAGTGCAATGTGCAGATTTTACAGTTTGCGCAAATTCCCTCCCTGCACAGATTCACATCCAATCCAAATATTACAAGTCCAACATCCAAGTCCATAGATTAACAATACATCCAAAATAACAACATTAAATCGTCCAACAACGTTCGATACATTAAATCCGAGACATTCAAAATAACATTTGAGAGACATCTAAAGATCAAATCAACATACAAAATATCCGAGAATCCAAGACATCCAAGTTCTGAAGTCCAAAATCAAATAATCCATAATAACATAAACATGGCATCCACAATAAATTCCGAATTAACATCTGAAACCACATCCAACGTCCAAGTTCCAACAACATTCCTCATTGAATCTGTAAAGAAAAATAGAGAAAAGAAAGCAAAGTCGAGCTTACCTAAAACCTTCTTCTTCTTGTATCGTTATAGCTTGGGCAGAGTATACAGTTGATCCAGTTGCAATTGCAGAATGATTAGGAATCAGAATCAATACAAGACATAGCTAAAGGAGGATAAGGAGAGAAGCAAACTATAAGTTTACACACATTTCCGAATTTTTTGGTTTACCAAACTAGAGGCTGAGACAGAGAAGATAGAAACCATGCTACATGTACCTGGAATGAAGATTTTTGCTGCTTCCTTCAAGGAACCTAAAATTTGTTATGTCTTTGGCTTGTCCAAGTTAGCATGTATCAAATAATTTTGTCTTAAATTAGCATTTATCAAGCAATTTAGAAAGAATAGATAACGAAATCGCCTAATGTGGATTCATGACGATATAGGAAGATGTTATGCTTCTAAAACCTGATCAACCGTGAATAAGATGGTGACTTTACTCTAAGATATCTATACATATTGCAAGGTTTATAACTTAAGAAGCCAAAATATCTGAAGGCTCGACAAGTAATGAAATGTGAAGTTTTCAAAAGAGCATTCCTGATAAGTAGGCATAGTTTGTAAAAGTCAGACCACCCATGATACATGAGCTGAAGAGGAAGTTAGAGAGAGAGAGAGAGAGAGAGATCCAATTCTAAAACTAAAACCATCAACTGAAACCATACATACAATGACAAGTTCTATAAAGAAAAATCAGTGATTGTCACCACCAACCTCTAAAAAGGTGATCTTGAGTGAATTGGATGGGCGAATTCAATATGAGGGATCTTTGCCTAATAATCAAAATGAAGGAATCCAATATTAATACATGGAGAAAAAAAAAAACATTGGAGAAACAGTATATAAAACAAAATATGAAACACAGCAATCCGATTGTAAATTTTAAGAAAACCGTAAATGGTGGTAGTAGATCAATCATCAATCTACAAATTCTAATTTTAAAAACCCTTAAATCCCTACACCAGAAAATTCACATTAATAATAAACCCTAATTCAAAATTACCTAAATTTTATAGGGATGATGGCTGGTAGCAGTGTCTCGACGGTGATGGGGTGATGGTGGCCACGACGGCGGGGGTGATGCGGTGATGGCCTGGGTTTTATAGGATGCCATCGACGAGGATGGCTGGTGCCGTTGTGTTGGTTGCGACAGCAGTGATGGGCTGAGTGATTTCTGTGAGGTGAGGCTAGTGAGCACTGTGAGGAGGAGGACGATTGAGAGTTGGAGTCGAGGGACTGAGAGTCTGAGAGTGATTCTGGAACTCGGGAGGAATTGGCTAGGGTTGAAACTAACGGTTGAGATTGGATGATAAGTTATCATTCAATCTCGGCCGTTCATTATAATTAGAAACAGGTCGGTCTGGGTACCTGTTTATTTTAATTATATGGAGCCGGCCCGCCCTGTAATTGACAGAGGCTAGGCTCGGCCTGGGCTCTTTTCTCACTACAATTTTTAGAACTAGCCCGTACCTGCCCGAAACCTAGATTACCTGTCTCGACTCGCAGTTCTTCTACTCGTTTGCCCAGCCCTAACTCTAACCACCCCTTACATAAACATTGCCCCTTTTTTTTGGTACAAGATATATTTTAAAACTAAGAAAGGAGACAATTCGATTAAACCACATAATGTGTAACCTAATCTAGTATCGAATTCGTGAGATTTAAATCTAAAAACTTTTATTTACAAATGATGAGACATACTACGAACTCGTAATACAAAATGGCAATATTGCCGTATTTTATCTGTTTAAAATTATCAGCAGTACTCTCAACAAGTCCAATCTTTTTAGGTACATAATATTTTCATAATATTTTGACATTATCTGCGGCGAGTAGGATTGGACGCTCCCGGCAGCGAGTAAAAGATGCATTTGAGAGTATCGATTTTTAGAAAGTTTAAATCACGGGCTCCCAGTGTGGCGGACAGCAGACAGACGTAGACCCAACGAAATCCCCAATTCTCCTACTTCCAATTTTGTCCCTATTCTATTCCCCAAAACCCCCCAAGCAATACCATTATTATATTACAACCCCCACATATTCACAATATTTTATTATTCCCGCTCTCTGTTATGTTTGACCAGCTGCGCAATCTACAGTGCGCTTGGGGTGTACAGTTGTCGTCCTCCTCTTATCCTGCGCACACGCCACTGTCACTGACAAAAGCCAAGTCTCTTTTCGCAGTGAAAATGGCAGAGAGGAGCCTCCTCGAGCTTCTCCATCTGGTTTTCGATCTCTAGGGCTTCCCGAGAACATACGACGTGTCGTTTGCAGATTTCCTTTTCTCTCGATCGGCGCTTTTCGTGGTCGTTATTCCATCGTCGTCATCCTCACCGTCAATCTGAATCTCTTCAGGCTCTCTCTCAGCTGCTGCTTTTCTCTATCCATTGCGTGCAAAAAAGGGACATTGCGTCAGACGTCATCGTCTTTGCAGTGAAAGGTTGCATTTGTTGCTCTGCACTTGCAGGAGAGAGAGAGAGTGTTGCTGCGCGTCTGTTTGTTCTGTAGTCGCTTAAAGGAGTGTAGTTATTGTACGGACTGTGTGTTTTCTAGTATGTTTTTGGGTGTTTTCAGAAACAAAAATTGGGGGTTTGGAGGAAATGTGAGTCCTTTTTGGTGAATGGGGGTTTTTTTTTTTTTGAAAATGGGGACTGGGCTTGGTAGATTTCATGGAGATTTGAGTTTTTTTGGTTCAAAAGCTCTTCACCTTTTGGGTGGAGGTTGAGGTTTTTGGGTTTTGAAAGAAAAGGAGCTTTGAGGTTTTTCATTAGTGGTGGGGAAGAAAAATGGATGATTCTGCAGGGAAAACGGCGTCGTCTTTGGTGATAGCAGAGAAGAAGACTCATAGGCCGGGTGGTTGCGTTGGCATTTTCTTCCAGCTCCTTGACTGGAACCGCCGGTTCGCCAAGAAGAAACTCTTCTCCAAGAAATTGCTTCCTCCATGTCAGTCATTTATCTTCTATAAAAGCTTCCTTTTATTTCCTTTTTAATTAAAAACATAATTAGAAATATAAAAAGTTTGGTGACATTTTTCTTTGTGTTAATTTGATGGATCAGCTCGAGCAAACAAGGTTTCCAAGAAGTTCAGAGATGAAAAAATGCCGACTTCCAAGCTACATTTGGTATGCATCTTATTGTAGCTTATAAATTTAGATTTTTTTTTGTACTTTTCTTGGTGAGTTTGATTGTTTTAATTCTCTTTTTTTGTTGGGAATGCTATGTGTGTTTGAATGATAGATTGCTGATGAAAACAGTGGGGGTTTCCCAAATGCGAAGAAAAACGTGAATCGAAGTGTTGATTATGAGCACAAGCATGAACTGTGTGCTCCGAGTTTGGTTGCTAGGCTTATGGGTCTTGAATCTATGCCTGCCTCGCCCGAGAAGCCGATGAAAGGTTCATTTGCTGATGTTAGTGACAGTGGAGAGAAGACAATTGTGAATAACTGTAGTGGTAATGATAGAGAAGAACTGAATTTGGAGACACAAAATGGAAGTCTGAAGCAAGGCCTCAGAAGCTGCAGAAAATGGGACCGTATGAGAAGAGGGCAGTGACTAGGTTTGGAGCTGAGGCACTTCAAATTAAGAGTGTTTTGTCGTGCTCGAGGAAGCATCACCCAAAGCTTGCTTCTCCAGTGAAGAGTCCGAGGATTTCCTCTGGGAAGAATGCTTCGCGAACCTCTCGGTTGATTGGTGCTGCTACTAGAATTTTAGAACCTGGACTGCAGTCTACGAATAGAGCAAAAGGTGCCATCACTTACTCGCCTTCGTTTCAATATCCTCCGGTGCGTGAGGCTGTGGAAGATGGAGCAACAATTCAATCACCAGAGATTTCTAAGCATGCATGTTATAATGCTGGTGCGTCGAATTCTCTGATAGGCCAAACTTCTTGCAAAAGCTGTGGTAGTTTAGTAGATGTTGTGGAATCATCGTCAAAGGTGGAGGCACAACAACCTGCTTTCCCATCCTTTGCTTCAAACATTGTCAATGGCTCCTCGATGGTAGTAGAACAAAGTAAGCCAAAGTCATCCATATCCTCCTTTGGGAAAGAAAAGGATGCAATTTCTCGGGGAACTCGGAACCAACCTGTATCAGTTTCTGGTCAAAAGGGAATACGATCCCTTGGTGAACCTGTCACAGAAGGGAAGTCTCTACCACCAGAAGGTCTAGCTTCATGGCAGTTGTCGTCAAGTCAACCATGCAAACCTCAGAAGGGAGAAGCATCTTCGATTGCCTCAAAGAATAGGTCTCAGATGCAGTATCGAATGTCACTAGGAAGAGAAAGGATTCCATCCAGATCCAAACTAAATAGTCTTGATGGAAGAAGAGCCTCATCTGCTGCCAATGCTGTTACAGGGACCAAAGACTTTGTTGCCTTAAACCGAAATCTGAGTGGTCGTTCCCGACCAAGGGTGCCTATCAAAATGAACGATTTTAAGTTTGACACAGAGAAGGAAGCTTTTACTGGAAAAGATGATTACCCATCACAGCTAAGGACCACAATACGGAAAAGGAGGATTATCAATGGTAGTGGCCAAGTTGAAAGTACTGGTTTTGTTAGTTCAACTTCCACAAGACGGGGGAATTATCAGTTTGATGTGCCAACTGGAAAAAGATTAGGAAATGGTGTTCATTTTATGAACCACACTTCTGCTAGGAATAAATTAGCGGGTCAGAGAGAAGGTAACAGAGCAAATGGAAATAGGGGCACTGATGTTATTTCATTCACATTTAACTCCCCTATCGGGAACAGGACTGGAAACCCTGCAGGAATGCAAGGTACAAACACAGACAATTGCATAAAGGCACCTCCCCAAGAACCATTGCCATTGAGTGCAGATGTTGTTGGTGCCTTTCTGGAACAAAAACTGAGGGAGCTTGCTTGTCAAGAAGATGAAGACATGGCAACAGGTGCTTCATCCAAGAGGTCCACTGCTATGATTCTCCAAGAGCTAATATCTGCCTTGTCTGCAGATCATTCTCTTTCTTCTCATGACGGACAGATGGCCAATACAGATATAGCGTCACCTGTAAGTGTCCTTGTCTATTCAACTGTTTTTATTGACATAGCATTACCTATACTGTTTATACCAAGAAGAATATGTTGGAAGTGTGACTATTTGAGTCTGGGAACTAGTTGGAATGAATTTGACTACTTTGAGAGATGATATTAGGGTTTTTACTGACATTATGAAGCCTGAGAACTTTAAATAGAAAATAACTTAATGACTACAGTTATAGGTTTCCCTGTTTTATGTATTTGATAACTGGTTTGGTGGTTTATTTCTCATATTATGATTCAAACCTTTTGGTACTAGTATTTGTCGAATATGATGCGTTTTAGATGTATTACTGAAGTTCTTAATTTGAAACAAGCAGTACAGTACTAGGTTAATTAAAGTTGTATCTGATGTATGACATATATAACTGTCCATTAGAGTTGGCCAATACATGGAAGATTTCTCATGGATGATAGTTGAGCACTTTTGGTGTTTGTATGGTTTAGTCATCTTAGGTTGCATCGCTGTTTAATCCCAGATTATATGTGTCCCATGCATCATAAAATAGCTTTGATTTCAATTTTGGGGATACTAAAAAAGATATGGAAAGTATTTCTTTATTTTAGTGCTGACCTACATTAAATGAGCTTAGATATTTGTAACCTCATGTAAATTGAAGTTTCATACACAGTTATTCCACCTGTTAGTGAGATTGGATGTTCATGTAATCGTAAATGGGGGCCAAAACAGAACTTCCAATTTTATTTAATTTTAATTTTAAATACTTTATTCTTGTTTTTTATAGTAGGAGGTTGCATTTCTGTGTATTGCGGATACAAAACAGAAACTGTTCTGACCTGGGATGACTAAAATAAAATGGATACATCATTGTTGCTGGGTGGATTTTCATTAGACTTTCTTGAGCTTTCTAAGTGCTCGCATAGTGCTTCCACCTGGGTAGTTTGAGTTATACTAATGCGTCAGAAATGTGAAGTAGAATGGCTACTCTTTCTTAATTATGAGGAATCTGCCTGTGGATTCTGTTTATCAAATATCAATTCATGTGCCATGGAGGGCTTTTGTCCATGCATACGCCAATCTGACAACAGTAATTACTTTGGCATCTACATAATGGAGGTTGTCTGTGCATGTGCACCATGTTAGTGGTAATTAGATGAGTGGAATGGAGAAGAATTCAGGTCTTGGGAAAGCTAATTCAACAAAGCATGTTGCATGATCTATTGATTTAGTTTCCTCACGCTTTGCTTAAAAATACTATGAACAAGAATTTCATATTACATTGATAAACCAGTTACGGTGGTTTGGACATGTGAAATGAAGACCTACTGACGCTCAGGTTAGAAGATGCAATTACGAGACAAAGGTTCAGCGCCTGAAGGGGTAGAAGGACCTAGGAAGACTTTGGAAGAGACTCTACGAATAGACTTGGAGTACTTGGATCTAACAGAAGACATGGTACAGAACCGAGCGCAATGGCGTTCTAGGATTCATATAGCCGACCCCGCTTAGTGGGAAAAGGCTTTTTTGTTGTTGTTGTATTGATAAACCAGGGGCAACCCCTTGGTTGTTATATTCAGAAAGTGACTCTTGGTAACCTATAAGCAAGTGAAGAAGTTATCAACTTCAAAGGACGTGCATTCATGAGTTGGTTGTCAGGAGCATGTTTACTGCCATATCTTGTGTATGTATTACCCTATTAGGAAAAATAATATTAAGGAGACGCTGAACCAATAGGGAGTATGAAGGGAGAATGGAAAGAAAGGTTAGGAAGACGAACAAGGGGATACCTAGGCTGTAATATTACATGATGAAAATTCTCAGTATTACTCTAGTTAGCATCTCTATTCAATCATTTCCCTGTATGCTTTCTATTTGCATCTCCTGCAACTTTTACAGGTTAAAATTTCTGCGGAAATACCGTAGATGTTAATACTCGATTAGCATTGGCATGCAAAATTAGTTGTTTATACACACTGTCCTTTAATGATTTAATCCTCATCGCCAACTTCTCTTGTAAAAGTAGGAATTATTGTTAATCTCAGTTAATGAGCTTGCATTGTGCCTAACTTCAGATCTTTCTTGTGTTTTATAAAAAGGTGTATTGGTACATTTCTTGACTCATTTAGCTTCTGTTATTCCTCATCAGGCTTGTGGAAAGATAGATAGATCAGTTGGAATCTTTCATGATGGTCATCATTTGAGCCCTGGGTCGGTTCTTGAAGCGTCATTTTCTTCTAGTAGTCTGGATGATAGCTCAGGTAGAGTACTTGAGTAATAGTAGAAACTGCTATGCAAAAACAGATACATAATTTCCTTTTCTAAACCGAGGTGGTAGAGTACTCGGATAGTGATTTGTTTTGTTTTGATAAGATCCTTGAAATGTGATTTTATCTTGGTCTTGCTTCTGATTCCAGGGCATAGGTCCTACCCTCACTCTATGGATTACTCTGCTGATCAGTTGCAACTTGGACATGATGCTGTTCCTGACATTGTAGACTCTGCCACTTCAGTGGACAAAAATAAGACTGGCGGTGAGATGATAACTGCTCTTTTCAGCAATGTATCGAGAATGTTGCATAGCATCGATGCTTGTGGGGAAAGATTGAGTGGAGGCAAGCTTACCAATGCAAATGAAGTTATCTTGAATGCTGAACTGTTGTTTGGAGATGTGACTCTTCACAATAAGGGAAACATAATGGAAGGTCTTTTCATCAGTCCCTTGCTTCTTGATCTGGAAACTATTGCTGGCACCATGATGACGAAATTCCATGTGTATAGTAGTTTCAGGGGCGTCAAAGAACTTACTGAATTCCTATTTGACTTTGTCGTTGAGTACCTGGAATCAAAATATGACCGATACTGCAACTCCGGATTCAGATTTTGGAAAAAACTCCCCGCAGGCATGAACCACAAGTTGATGATTCAAGAGGTTCGGGAGGAGATTCAGAAGTGGACGGATTTGGCTGGAATGATTCCTGATGAGTTGATAGAATGGGATATGAGTCATTCCCTGGGGAAGTGGATGGATTTTAATATCGAAGCGTTTGAGGTCGGTTCTGAAATTGACGGAGACATTCTTCAAAGTTTGGTTAATGAAGTTGTGATCGACCTCTGCGAGTGCAGGCTGCTGGATTCCTTTTGAAATTCATGTAAAACCCTAGCTACCATTTTTTTATTTTTGAGTTCGTATGATCATAGATCAGCCATGTCACGTGTTAAGTTCTGTGTGTTAAACCAAGTAAATGTATTCTTTTGTACAAAGCAATGGAAGGCTTAGGGTTTAGTTTAAGATCAGTTATCAGGCTTTGCCAGTTTGTATGTGCTAGAATTTTGCACTTTTTTTTTTTTTTTTCCCGCTTTTGAGTGTCAAGTAAAATTGAGTTGGATAAAAGTTGGTCAACCTTATCAATCCAACTGCTGATATAATAAATAGCCGAAAAAAGAGAGTAGATAAATGTTTGATAAACTATAGTCCTAAAAGTGGTTTTAGCAAAAAGATAAAAAGGTGGGGTATTATTGTGAAAATGAAAGTTTCATCATGTTCACCTGACCTGTCTATGAAAAAGCGCTTTTTTGCGAAGCATGGGTAGAGCTTCTTCTGTTTGTAGCAATTTTAGACTCATGAAGCTGCTTTTTTTAAGCTTCACTTTTTTTTTCTTCTACAAACACAATTTAAGCCCGGTTTGGTATTGTTTTTTTTCACTAAAAACTAATTAACTTTAAAGTTAAGCAGTTAAAAAAGTGTGGTAAAAATAAAATATACTGCTTACTTTAAAAGCAATGGTCTCCAGACATCATCTTTGAAAAACGGGCTGTAAGCTGCTTTTAAAAGCTATTTTAATAAAAAAGCAAAGTTGATCCTTTAGAATATTTTTAATTCCTGTTATTTATTTTAAACAATGACATTATTTATTCTTGGATAGAACTTGGTTTCAGCAGCAGTTCCTGCTGCTAACCAATTACAGATGGACACGTGTCTAATCTATGATTAAAAAGTTAATTACTTGGACACGTATCCATCCATGATTGGCCAGCATCATGAGCTATTGGTTATTTTTTAGCAGTCAAGTTCTGTTCATATGAAAAACAATGTCAAGAAGGATAAAGAACAAAACTAGCTGCTGAAAAAATCAGCACCAACTCTTGCTGCTGGCCAATCACAAATAGACATGTGTCTGTCCAAGTAATTGATTTTTTTAATTACAGATTGGGCACATGTTCATCTGTGATTGGCTAACAACAGAAGCTGCTGAAAAATCAGCAGCCAAGTTTTGTCCAAGTGAAAACCCATAACCCTCGGATAATTTTAGAGAAAATGGCCAAGTGGTACCTCTAAGCTTTTGCATTCCATCAAAAAGCAAAAGTGGCAAGAGCAGTTACAAGTAAAAGTTCCATTCAAGTAGATATCTGGACCGATCAGATCAAAATTTTTACTACCATGATTTGATCAATCATCTTCAATTGGAACAGAGGATTTGCACAAACAACAAATCAAGGGGAAAAAAGTACATCCAGGAGTTGAATTCATCAAACCTAAACCCTAAAAAGTACATCCAGGAGTTGAATTCATCAAACTTTATCATTTACTAGTTACATTCCGAAACAAATAAAAAAAAAAAAAAACAAATGAATTTTAAGTGGTATTCCAATTCCCAGGCCATGAAACCACAAACAACATATTCATCAAAGAAGACCCCCCAAAAGCACCCAACTTTCAGAACTGTCTGTACCCCAAAACAGTCCTAGGCATTGCTCTGCCATTGCCGTTGGCATTCCTTCCGCCCCTGTTTTCGCCGCTAATAGCATTAGCGGCGGCGGACGACAGCCCCTTCAACTCCTCCATACTCGCGTAGCTCTTCCTCCCCATGACGCCTCCACCATTGTTGTACCTCTTCTCTCCTGCGATCGCCGATTTACTCCCTCTTGAATTCGACAGAACCCCGTCCGCCGCTTTCGCCCAACACTTTGCCGGCGGAGTCATCTCCTGCATCGACGGAAGCCTCGACGGCGGCTTGCGGTTCTCTTTCCGCAACACGGCTGAGAAATCAGGCACCGATTGAGCGAGAACGGAAGACCCTTTTCGCGAATCGGTCAGATGGGTCTGAAATTTGACTTGTTTCTTCAATGGGGTCGGTTTCGATTCGGGTTCTTCGGACTCCTCTGGGCTCATGTACTTCCTCCTTAGCCGCGATTCTCTGAGTTCCGCGTAGGCTCTGTATCTGGGTCCTCTCTCCATGGAATAGCTCTCGGTGACGAACCTCAGGGGGACTGGATGCTGCTGATCTGGGTTACGGTTTTGTGAGAGAATGAGAGCGATGGGGTCGAGGGCTTGGAATAGCGACTGAAAAGCTGGGTTTTGTAGGTGGGTTTGTTGCAGAGAGCCGTTAGTCTCTGCCATTGTTGAAGAATTCGATGTCAGCTGCGTTTTGTTTTCTTCTTCCTTCTTCTCTCTCTAAAATCTCAATCTTTCTCTCTCTAGAATCTGAAATTCGGTCGTTTTTGGGGTGATATAATAATGGCGTATGCAGTTTGTGAATTGGGTTTTACTTAGTTTGCAATTAAAGGTTTTGGATTTGCAACGGTCGAAAAATGGAAAAAGAGACTCTGTGTTACCATTTTGCTTGCTCTTTTTCTTGCTTCCAACGTTCTGAATTTTGAATCGCTTTGGATACCCTATCGACGGTCTGATTTGACTGACTTTTCCATGATGACTTTTTAGAGCCGTCTGATATTTTTTCCTTGTGCTGTGTCAGCGGCTGCGTAACTAAAAATTAATTACGGGAAAAAGTGGCTAATAATTCAAATATTTGATTCTAATTATGCTATGTCAGCGTACTTAGCTAATGATAAACTTGACGGAGGGGGTAAAATGGGACTCGAAACATCGGTCAAGAAGCCAAGATGAGTCACTTTATCTTTTGGCCAACAAGATGAGATTTGCTTATATTAATAGACTTTCATTCATTGGTATTCTAAAAATATGCATTTAAGGACTTGTTTGGTACATATGATTGGATTATTAAATTAAAGATAAGATGAAAGGAGAAAATATAAAATTATAAACACCTAAAGAATAAACGATAGATTACTCATGAAGAAAACTTATTCATTCCAATCTTCTTTAAAATGGTTGGATTAGTAGGGATAGCTAATCCTCTTCTAATTCCCTCGCGATGAAAAACCAATCACTTCTGCCTTCAATATACTTTGAATTTGAGAGTTCTTCGTTCCAATCCAATCATGTGTACCAAACGAGCCATTAATCTCTCTATTTTGAGAGGGCAATAGATCAATTACAATTTTGGCATATATTGTTAGCTCTTCATATATCTAAGGTGCCATGGCATTAATATTGTGCAAATTACAGAACTGTTTCGAAAGAAATATGTCACACACAAAAGGATTTGTGCAAATTACACTTTGTGGTATTTGTATTTCTGCCTCAAATTTAAACTATCCATTTAGCACCAGGGCATTTCAACCCCCTGATCCAGTGCTGCATCAATCTGTCCACATATATAGCAGATATTGGTCACACCTTTAAGATCAAAGGTCGAAATGCACACCCGTTGAAATGAACAGGCACCGTAAATTGTGTATGCTTAAACATTTTTACACGCATCACGCGGATGCAACCAATTATTTGGAGACAAAGACATAAATATTTTGAAACAACCATATACCTGATGTCTCTCTACCGTACTGAATCTCTGTAGAAGATAGACTTTCATGTCCACAGTTCCCGGTGGATTTCCGATGCCTGAAAACGTAATTCAAATAATTTTTTGATTTTCCACTAAGACAAGCAATAGACCTTTGTATTGCAACTCTTACTAGGGGCAGTACGAGTTGCGTTAGTTTTGTAGCCAACCTGATTTTCTGGTGGATAAAATACCAACCCATATTTCATGTAGAGAACAAACCGATTCTGCGCTATAATTCATGTAGGCTTGAGGCTTCACCAGCAAAATTGGTACTTCTCCGATGGAACCTGTACTGATCCCGCAAAGAAATCTGAATGAACACCACAACACAAGAGAATGTGGAGCTGAAAAACAAGAATTGATGCACTTAAAATACCACTGAAGACGCACCTGTCAATCATCTCGAAACCAATCTGGTGTACAGTAACCACACGAAAAAAGGGTAATGAAAAACCATTCAACCGAAACAATTACATTAGTTTATAAGGGCGGAATATTACATTGTGCCTAGTCCCATGGTACTTGTCGCCAGGGTTACCCAATCCTACACACAGCCAAGGCGTGTACTCCACTTTTGCGCCATTGGTATTATCGGGTAGGAAGCGTTCACACGAAAACTTGTGGAAACCGGACACTTCCTTACAGAACGAGGGCTACGAGGTCTTGTCGAATACGATATGCAATATTTTGGGGCAGAGACAGCATACCACATTGACCTAAATACACAAAACACAAAATGGTTGGCAACGGGCTTGAATCAATACCCACTTAACTTCATTTTTTAAACTCTGAACTAGTGCCACTTAGCACTTCATTAACTGGGCCAAGTTTCGGCAGGTGATGAATTGCCCTAGTGAATGTGGCCTTCATTTTCAACCCACTGTGTTTCGAGTTCAAACATTCGCCCTTCTCTTAACATAGCTTAGATTAGTAACATCGCCTGTAATATAAAAACTTGCCAAGTTTCTATCGAGTGATGTGTAGCTACGTGAGTTTATTGTATGAAATGATCTTGTTGGGACAAGTGTCACAATCCTAGAACAGTAGTTAGTTAGATGGTTAGCTTAGTCATTAAGCAAACTAGTAAGTATAAACAGTGAGTGTGAACAGTATTGTAATAATCTTTCAACATAATCAAATACGTACTTTCTCTCTCCTAATTCTCTCTGTAAGTTTTCTTAGTTTCGAAGCATTCACGGCTGAGCTCTGAGCTTTCTCAGAGCTGTTATAAGTTTTAACGTTTTTAATGCCTGAGTTGGCCAAATTTTAAGATTATTTGTTTTGTTTCCTGTAATATTGTATCTTTACAGACAAAATTTTAAGCAGAAAATATGTACACTCCCAAAAAAAAAAAAAAACGATAAGCCTGGGAAATAACAGAGGATATGATAAATAAGTGCAAAGAAAAGTAGAAAGAAGGAATGAAATCACGAAAAAGATAGATAACGAACCCGGCTGAAAATTTTGGAGGTTGAATTTGAAGTTGGGGGTATATGAATGCGAGCAAGTTGCAGAGGGAAGGAGGTGCTTCTCGTCCAGGGCTCGGAAGTCGTTTATGGTTTGCAGACAGAGGGAGGTGCTTCAGAGATG